AAATTTTGTGTTAAATTAAAAAAAAATCGCTACGACATACTAGTTAATGAAAAAAGAATCAATTATGATGATTGTATAGTCGTACTCAGGTTCAATAGTGCCGAATAAATAGAAAATGTCCATGAAATTTTAATATAATTTCGAATTTTACTTCGAGAATGTTGGCTCAGGAATTAAACACTATTTTTTAACCAAAGCTTTTGGTAAAAGAATGGTCTTTTCRACTTTTGTTCCACATAAATTAAATTAAGATCAAAAAGATGAACGAGTTTGGAAAAAAAAATGATTTTTCTCATTAACCATTTGCTTGATATTTTACCATGTGACTATTTTCCATTTCCAAAACTGTAAACTAACACGAAAGGACTATTTTATGATGATATCCCACTTTTTGTAGGTTGTATGGTTTCAACTTATACGACTCTGAGTCGAGTCTAGCTAACCGGAAGGGACTCGAACATTTAGCATTGTAAACTCGGCAGCATTCTTCAAAATTAAATTAAAAATGCTTGCTGACACGAAAAATAATCAAAAACAATTTTATTTTTTAACAATAATTTTATCACGATTTAATTTTAAATAATTTATGATACAAACTATATATTTACTAACAAATTTCTCCGATTTATTATGGCTTTTACACTTACATTCATATCTACTAACAAATAATCAGTGTTAACTTATCTACGTACAAATTTTACGAAGGAACCAAAAGAAAAAAGGAAACATATAATACGAGTATCGTAATGGCAGGAAATAAATAAAATTTATTAGTTTTTCGCGTAGAATTGCTTTCTGCATTGGASGACTAGCTAAATTGTCGTCGAGCAATGTCCTCTTGATGTTCCTAGGAGGCGGTTTCGCTCCAAGTAGGTGACGGCAATGATGATTTTTTCAAAATTATCCCAGCAGGAACTGCAACTCCTCCATTATGTTCCTTAACTAGGAGGATACACGTCTCACCATGCAGGTATTCAATAGGACACATCAAGAGGCATCCTGTCGTCGTCCGGAGTGCAGTATTCTGAAACTTCCTCGTCTGCGTTCCACTGCATCCAGGCGGTCATATCGGTGCGGCGTTGTTGAGAACCGGGCGGCCGATTGCCCAGTATGTTGCCAACAACGTTTCTTTGTAATATATTTACCCCTTCTGATGCCGGCTAGCGACTTGAAGATTTTGTTGCGCCTCTGTACTTTGGCGATAATCGCGGTCGTGTGAAGAATGAAGGAGCATAGACTATCAAAAATCACACCTAAAGTTTTAGGATTATTGACAGTTGCAATCTTGAAGCCATCGACTGCAATATTAAGGTCAAGTCAATACGCCTTCGTCTACTGTGCACTTTTCGGAAGCCATGTTGGTGGTTTGCTAAGCTCAGGTGGTGAGTAAAGGTCGGGAGTAGCAAGGCATCAAGTATCTCCACAACTGCAGAGAGGAGAGTTATCGGAATATAGGACTCTCACATCGGATATTTAAAGAGTGGTCAGCGACAGGTTGAGGATCTTGGTGAGGTGACTTACTCCCGTCGAGCTTAGATGCTTTAGCATAAGCATTTTGATTCCATCAGGATCATCAAGATCGGCATGGCGCGTGTTTGCTAAAACAGTTGCTTCGGCTGTGAAATTAGGGCGGAGTTCCGCAATTYCTCCAACCGGGATGAAGCGAGCTGTAGCTGCTGCGATCACCTTGAGCAATCGGCATTCGCTAACGGTTAAGTCCATAGGAATGGGTAAAACGTGGAAGGTGTTCTCAGTAAATTCTGGAAAGACGAGCCAGTTAGCTTTGTTAACGAAAGTACGGTTGTCAGCCGAAACAAAATTGGGAGGTTTTTCGATCAAGATAATATCGGGCTTAGGTCGCAAGGTTGTGCTATTTATCAGACCACCGCCTAGTACCAAAAGGTTTTCACCACGAAGTAGCACACCTACATATATTTGGGTGATATCCTGAAGGGCAACATGTAACTGGGGGTATGTATATTTTAACTGGATAGCTATCCCCTGACATTCTAGGGTAGTACCCATGTGGTCGATGTCTCCATCGACATTCACCAACATTGACCAATATTTTTGAACAAAAGTCCACTACAGGTACTGTGGTCCACAAATTCGGTACGTAGGGTCTTGAACAGTTTTGGTTGGAATTGAACAATTTTTTCCATAAGGTGGCAAAGATATTAATTGGCAAAGTTTATAGCCCTGACAGACGAGCAAAATGAATGCGTATTAAGCAACGCTATTTGCATTGAAATTTTATGGTGACAAACGGAAGACTTGTGCATTTAGACAGCTGATTGTGAAATTTGAACATTTATTTAAAAAAAAAAAGTGAAATAAAAATTAATAAGATAAATTATTAAGAGAAATTTTGGTATTTTTTTAAAAACAATATAAATTTAACGAAAAAATTCGTTTAATATTAACTACGTTAAAAGATAATAGAGTGAAATTAAAAGCAATAATTGATTGTAATGCGAAAAAAGTGTGCGTAAAAGTTAAGAATACTGGAAAAATGGATAGCAAACTGCGCGTTGTTTATTTTCTGTCCTCTAAAAATATTAAAATTTGTTTTGCAAGTAAATGTAAATTAATCCCGCTAATGCAAATTAACTCTGTCGTCTGTCAGGGCTATTAATCCCAATATATTAATTGCTTCTTAATTTCTGTACTGGAAACTTAACGAATCAAGTGGAATTTAAAATTGTGCTATATGGGAAGTAGGCGAGGTTTTAGTATAATTTCACTCATTTTCACAGAGTGGCAATGTCACATACCAACTTTTGTTGGGGAATGGGTCAGTCAAGTCCCGAGATATGGGATTTCAATCCAATTTTTACCCCCGTCCTTATAAAGTTTTGTCATACCATCCCGGCAGCAAATTTTTGAATATCTGGCATTTCTATTTGTAAAATTTATTATAAATTATAGAAAGCCGTACTTTAAATAGTTGAATTTCTGCACTTTAAATGTAAATATCTCAATAAATATAATTCTGAGGCAACTAAGTATAGATATATACGTAGAGCACAACACTTGAAAYATTGTATAGGGACACGAATACATGCAAATATTTTTCATGTCTACTGTGCATACAATATAAGTTCTAACATAATTTTAGAAGTGAATACGATTTGTTTAGACATATGTATATACATATGTTCTAGCGAAAACAGTAATCTAAATTCTTCTTCTCACATWATTTGCATATTCTTTCAAGAAATGTATTATCATAAATTCTATTGTCCATATGTTAGAGTATTAAAAATTCTGGCTGGTTTTCACAGTTAGGATTCTAATCATTGGTATTCATTTTAGCTATATGTAAAATTACAACACTAAGAATGAAAATCGACATTATGTTATTTTGAATATTATGCCTATGTAGTAGTTTGGAGTTTAAAATAAAGGATTTGCTAAAATATTTCATACAAGTAAGGAAGAGCTACATAAGTTCGGGTATAACCGAACATTTCATACTCTTACAACATGCAACGATTAAAGCCAGGGAAGTACCTTCAGCTGGTATGTTCATGGCCATGAAATAGTTTCCAGGATTATCCGGACTTTGCCCCCGTCAAAGCTTCTATTCGTAAGTGTTTTATTAAATTTTCTACAAGTCATTTAAACTACGAATAATAAACATCTAACCGATAAAACGAAGAAAAACGTAGGAAAATGCAACAGTGTGCTAGCAGAGTTTTTGCGTTTAGTTTTGGGATGTGTTTTGAATATTAAAAAGGAAAAACCATAAACAACTGCTATAAAACTACTATTCTTTTTTGATTTATTTAGAACTATGTAACCTCTTTAAGGGATTTTTACATCGGGCATACTCGACATAGTTGGTTCGTATAATTACGATGCTGCGTTGATCGAAGGTAGAAAGGAAATGTTTGCTTTACATCCTCCTTTCGGTAGTACAATATGCTCAAAAAACTAAAGAACTATTTTCTGTGGATAATCGTTGTTTTTGTCCGTCAATACTTTTGCAACAATATCAGTCAAAATATAATAATTGATTTCAAAAAAAAAATGTGTATCTACATATACATATGTATGTATGTATGTCAAATGAAGTTCCCAATAAACATAATGGCAAGCGTTTTGTAAATTAAGATTGCAGCAAGCTTGCATAAATAAGAGTTTTGCGAACGTCGATGACAATTGGATGGCAAATGCAAGTGTTTTGCGAACGTCGTTGACAATCTGCCTGCAAATGCAAGTGTTCTGCGAAAGTCGTTGACAATTTTCTTGCAAATGTAAGTGTTTCGCGAACGTCGTTGACAATTTGCTTGCAAATGCAAGTGTTTTGCGAAAGTCGTTGACAATTTGCTTGCAAATGTTAGTGTTTTGCGAACGTCGTTGACAATTTGCATACAAATGCAAGTGTTTCATAAATTTAAACAAAACGTGTCATTCTCGACGTTAGAAATCGTGCTGATAAGTTGTTATTAAATTGTTCTTAAAATTGTTAAAATAAGTGCTTTGGATACTTTTAGTTAAATTAGAAAGGTTTTTATTTAAAAAGGTAATTTTTGAGCATATAAGGATGCTTGTTCTGGTAGTACCCACAATGAATTTGTGGAACCGGAGGTTGTGATAACATAGATGAGTTGCTCAATTTTGAGAAGAATATACTGGAAAATATACACATTTTCCTTGCTGGTAAGATTTTAATTTTTAAATGTCCGGTGACTGCAATGTTGATTTTATATCTATTTTTAGAAGGCAGGACTAAAAAAAATTTCAACTTCCAATTCAAGGAAATTTGTTTCGAAGATCATTACTGACAACGTTTGTATGTATGCAGTAAGTATTATTTTCAAAGACGTTGAAATCAAGTGTACATAACTGCATCCAAATACATATGGAGTTACGGCTGTGCAAATTGTTTCAAAAAGCGTGCGGAAACCTATTCAATTAATACTATTATCAGCCAACCCTGAAGGCTAGGGATAAAAAAAAACACAAATATTTTTAGATCTTAGCGCAAATCTTACCTCTTCTAGTACAGCCATAGTTTGACGACAATCAGGCATTCTGGATGCAAATGTGGATGTTGTTGGAGAATTATAATCATCGCGAGTTTCCTCCACAAACTCTGCAATGCCAATTAAMGCTGCTGGCGGCATTTTCAGTCACTCAAGTTTTGAATTTTATCAACAAAATTTTGTATATACTTGCGCTGGAAATTTGCAAGTTTTAGCAACTGTTGAAAACAAATTAATTTGTTTCCACATTCACGTAAGCCAACGGTTGGTGCTAAAATTTTTAATACATACTATGTAGGTATGTAGGTATAATAGTAGAACAATTTTTTCTCAAAGAAAAAAACTGTAAAATCTATTATTTACATAAATGAACATTAACATAACATCAGCAAAAATATAGAAGCATCACAAACGTTAGTTTAGCTTCTTTTATTATCCTTTTAAAATAGTCATATATCTGTATTTGTACATACATCTTTTCAGAACTAGCACTATTTTTCAGTATTAAATTCTGCAGGCATGTAGGTAAGTATTGATGTATACATATATAATATTTACACTCTTATATATCGCTTAATATCATATAATTTTCATATTTTACACAAATTGCTATCTCTGCTCAATGCAGAAATTCTGTAGTGCTTTAACAACACTGTATGCATCATTTCACGACTTTATTTCGCATTTCACAAACTCCTATTTCAATTATCCTTTGCACTCCCAAACTGTTTCACATATAAAAAGGAATAGAGAAATTGAATAGCGTCGCAGTAGTTAACACCCATTTTCACTCGTTCTCCTCTTCTCCACAAGTCTCCTCGGTACATATTTTATTTTATTTTTCAATAGCTTTGGGTTGTGGAAGATTTAATCAAAAGGGTATTTCTAAACTCAACACATTATACACGGTATATCATAAACGCTTTAAATCGGACGTCACTGCTAGTACCACTTCAACCTTCAAATTCAATGATCACTTTGTTAATATTTTTCTCTAGGTGTTCAATTCTTTTGCACTACTATACCTACTTTGTTTTGCTATTTCTAGCTATTTCGTATGCTTTTGCAAACGTCGACAAACAAAATCGTATCTATGCATTTCTCCGTCTCATTTATTATGATGGCATTTCAGCTCTTAGATCATATATCCAACAATCACTTTGACATTATTGAATTTACCCGTTCCAGTGATTCAACAAATCTCTCACTGATGGGCGCACATTTTTACAATTGTTTAATTTCCACTTTTCCTTTATTATTTAAGAAAAATTATATATTTTTAAGCATCATTTGTAGTTATTGATGAAATATCTAATTTGTTCGACCACTTTACTGGCGAACACGATAGCTGATATAGAATGGACGAAACTTGTAAAAAGTAATGAAAAGGAAACTCCAAGAAAAAGAAGACAAATTTTCGATAAATACCAATTGTATATTCAGTGAAATCGAAATAACGTATGGACTACACTATTGGATAGCAATATGTTCAATATAACTGAATTATATCAATTCATTAAATTTTTAAGTCAAAATAATCATTACTTAATTTTAATACATTTAATTAATTAAAACTTTAATAAATACACATATGTATATAACTATAATAAATCTTAAAGCTTTTGGAATAAAATAAAAATAATTCTTGTTGAAAAGCTTGAAAAATTACATTTATAATATCTCTTAAATACACTAATTCGGTTTTATATTAATAATACCAGAACATACATATATAGTTAATTTTAAGCTCAATTTGATATGCTAATAATCGATTACATATCGTTCACTGTTGGTGTCAAAGCTTTTGAAAATACAACACTGCAGTATAAAACACACTATTGAATTTTGCTATCCACGAGCAATATAAATAATTAATATTAATTTATTTATTATATCATGGCCGGAAAAAGACAGGCAACATCTAACTTAAATCATGAAAATTGGGACCAGGAAGATGAGCCTGAAGAGCGCGGAACATTTCGAAAAGCTTCAGAAGATGAATTAAAAAATCGTGTTATTAAGAAGGCGCGTAGGAAGGTTGTTACCGGCAACAGCGGTGAAGACGCTACCGATGACGGAGCGCCAAAAAGCGTTTTTAGTGGTTTCGCAGGTATAAGACGGTCTCTTGTATATAACCTAAAAGATTAATTAATATTGAGCTTTATAGGTTTTGGTAAGCCATCGAATGCTGCTCCATCAGGATCTCCCTTCTCATTTTTGTCGAAAGCCTCTACGTCGCCTGCAGATGTTTCTAATGCAGCCACTACAAAACCATCATTTTCATTTGGTACAAATATTAAAACAGCTCCAATTATTGAAAAGGAAGGCAAAACTTCTGCCGGAAATGGTAATGTGGTTAAAGAAAATGCGAAGGAGAGCAAGGGTAAATCTACTAGCTATCAATGCAAAATAAAAAGCTTAAACGAGGCTGTAACAGAGTGGATAAAAACCCACGTAGAGAAAAATCCACTTTGTATTCTTACACCGATTTTCAAGGATTATGATAAATATATCAAAGAAATAGAAGATGAAGAACAAAATGCGGAGCAACTGAAAGCAAGTAACGACAGCGCAAGTGTTAAAAATACTTCATCAGATGCACCTACAGATACACCAACACTTGGGAATTTTAAATTTTCCGCATTTTCTAAACCTACTACAAGCACACTTTCGACCAGTAGCACGAGTGCTTTGTTTTCTTTTAGTTCAACACCGGCCTCATCCGCAGCTGCTCCAAGTGCTTCGAGCGTATCTAAGCCAGCAGAAACAACCAAACCGAGCACATTTAGCTTTGGCATAAAACATACGGAAAACAAAAATAATGTAACAGACAGTCAAACTTCGTCTCCGTCTAAGGGATTTAGTTTTGGTCTTAAAACAGATAACAAGCCATCAACTTCAATGCCATTTACATTCGGCAAACCGGCAACCAATGGTGATTCGAGCGAAAAGAAATCGCCCTCATTTAGTTTTACTCCTAGTTCTACCCCATTCAGTTTCGGTAATATAAAACCACCTGCTGATCCAACTCCTTCAACTTCCACTGATGCTAATTTGGCTGATGATGAAGAAGATCAACCACCAAAAGTTGAATTTAAACAGGTTTAAACTATAATAATATATAAATAACATATATTTATAATTTACCAAATCCGAAATAGGTTGTGGAAGAAGATGCGGTGTACTCCAAGAAATGTAAAGTTTTTGTTAAAAAAGATGGAGCGTTTACCGATCATGGTGTGGGTACATTATACTTGAAACCAGTAAAAGACTCTGAAAAGACACAACTACTTGTACGCGCTGATACAAACCTCGGAAACATTCTTGTGAACTTAATTTTAAGCGCCGGCATCCCTACTCAGCGAATGGGTAAAAACAACGTGATGATGGTATGTTTTCCTACGCCRGATGTAGAAAAGGCAACATCGATGCTGTTACGCGTTAAAACTGCAGAAGAGGCTGACGAGCTATTGGCAGAACTAGAAAAGCACAAGAAATGAAGAGTTTCAATTATTTTGCTTTTAAATTGTTATACACTTTGGTTGTACTTTTAATGCGTATGGAAAATTTTAAGAATTCTACCAATAAAACTAAAATTTGAACAAAAATTTGTAAATATTATGATTGAATATAATGSTATTCAGTAATCATTCGATTAATTATGAAATATAGATTTTAATAATCAAATATGAATTCAAAATATCCCTATTACCATACGTCAAAAAACCGATATGGTCAAGCAATCAGCTGAGCATTGCTGTCGGTGGTTTCTTTACAGCTGATTGTTGTTTGATGTTATGTACAGTTCGAAAAGCCAAATGCTTGCAACGTGTAGCTGGGTACATCTTTTAGAACCAGCACTAGTTGTACAAAACAAATAATGGAAAAGCGCCAAGAGGCATTGTGGGAGGTAAAATTTTAAAAGTTTTTATGTGTGTAATATTTAACGTGATTCGGAATATGTTTAGGCACTTGCTAAGAATGGGGAAGAAGCAACACGCTGGAAGAATTACAAAGACGAAAATGGTACAGCAGTTGAAAACCTAGATAGATTTAGTAAAAATCTCACTGTAGATGTAATGGTACCAATAGGACGTAAGGCATATATGCCTGGTCAGCTTATCCATACAAATGAAGTGCTTGTAGGGCACTATCAAAACTATTTCTCTAAATGTTCCGCACATAAGGCAAAAGAAATTGGTGAATACCGGATTAAAATGGCACAGGAAAACTTGGAAAAATTGCAAAATGAATCAAATTTATGGAAGTATGTTAAATTTTACTTTAAATTTTACTAAATTTTATTGTCACCATTTCGTTGAAGGAATAAGTTGGATAAACCATATACCGAAGGAGTGTTTCCAAGCAAAGAAGATTATGAAATAATTGAAAATTATGATGAGGAAAAGGAAATGATATGGCGAGAACAACATAATGTACGCGTAAAGCTAGCTAAAGAACGAGAGAAAGAAGAAAGGCAATCGAATATTTCAAAAGTTCCAAATGAGAATAATATAAAAGATTCGTCCGACATAAACGTTTTTAAAATACTTGAAGAGGCTGAACTTAWGGAGGAATTAGAGAATGAATTGGAAAGATTAGAAATAGATGATATCAGTAATGACACTATAAAGGAGTTAATGAACGGGRAAATGAAGTTACCATCGGAAAAACCACGTGTAGCTCATTTGGCGAAAATTCAGGAACAAACCGAAACACAAGCAAATTGCGAAAAATCTGACATTAATATTGAGAAAGATCTTCAGCGGATTGTAAAGAAGACTATAGTCCGAACAAATAACTATAATCGACCAAATCCAGAGATGATCGAGTCAAGCATAAATACCGAAGATTTAGATGTTGATTTTGGGGAACTACCTCAAGAGGTACAAATTATCAAAGAACAGGAAAAAAATTTGCCTGYCTTAGATCAGATTAAAATACTGCGTCACAAAATTTTGACATTACCACTGCATACTCAAGACGTTATCGATACTTTAGTGACTTTAGAGGCATTAGAAAGATTACTTGGATTGGCTGAGGATAATGCTGAATATCAAGCAGAAGATGACATTTCCAAAGAAAGTGATATAGAGCTGGAAGAAATATCAGCTACAAAACAGAACACAAACGAGGAAAAACCAACCAAACGGCGAATTTCTTTTGCTCTACAAAACGAGACACTCGAATTTCGCAAAAACGAGACTATTTCGCAAATGTTACCCAAATCGCAACAAAAGCTAAAGGAAGTAATTAAGCATGATAAATATGAATTAAACCCTAATATTTCTAAAACTAAAACTGATACAAAAATAAAAGATCGTAAAAAAAATATTATTGATAGAGTGGAACAAAATATAAGATTTATTGCAGATAATCAAAGCACTCGAGATTTTCAATTGGTTGATAAAATTTTGGAACCATCTTTAGCTGGTGTTTATACCTTGCACATACATTTCCAACATTCCGAAAACTTGCAAAACGAAACAATATTAAATAGTGAAAATTCTGAAATCACCACAATCCCTAGCACACCCGCCGACTTWTACCAAACATATCTAAAAAATAAAGAAAAACAAAGTGAGGATAAACACAAATCTACTACACAGCAGATAATTTTTGCTAACGCTTATAATGGTGAGGACAAAGTTAAAGTACCTCTATTAAAAGAAGCAGATCGGTTACAGTCTTACCAGGATCAACGTATGGAGGTAATTTTTAACTTTTATGGCAAAATACTAAATACTTTATATAGTAAATTTTATTAACCTTTGTAGTTCAGCAAGCCTACTACGGAGAACAAGTCAATTTTAAGAAATAAATCTGCAGTCGAAAGAGAGCAACATAAATTGAATCGTAAAAACAGAGCCAAATCTAATAACAAAGAATCGAAAAAGAAAACGGCAATTCCAGTTGATGAAGATGAATACATGAGTGCTTATTACAAGGTTTGTAAATGTTGAACTATATTTAACATATTTAGGCATGTCCGTTTGTCTATCTGTATATACACGAAATATTCCCCATCCCTTTTCTTCCCAAGAAACTGGGAGATTATACTGTCATACAAACTGCGTTATCGAAATCAAATCCTTTTTACTTTTATATTTGACGAGTTATCTTGCTTGAGTCAACGGTGCAAACTTTGATGTAATTGTTTCAATCGGACCCCTACAAATCTATATTTATACAAACTGACCGATCAAAATCAAGTTCTTATATGAAACTTTATGTATTTGTGAAGGGTATTATAGTTTCGTGCCAACCGAAGTTAACGTGTTTCCATTTTTTATTTTAGGTAATGAACGAAGTTATTGAAAAGCCTCTAACTGAACCGGAACCTCTCCCGGAATGTAAATACATTGATGCGCATACCCCCAAAAAACGAATAAGTCGCTTCAAACAAAATCGCGGAGTAACAGAAAAAATTTAATAAACATATTCAATTTAAATAAATAACTGTAAGTTGTAAAATTTATTTATTTGTTTCATTGCATAAGGAATTAAAATTGCTTAAAATAAAATTGTTTTGCGACTTCGCCTTAAAGTTTATTCATTTAAAACTGCATTCAGTTTAATTTACAACAGTTCATGCCTGCAAATGTATACTTATACAAATGTGCATAACTCTTTACAATTTAAAAGCTTTAGAAGCGTACTGACTACATGTGAAAACTAGGATCAATTTAAAAACTGGCTAAAGATTCCAAAAGTGAAAAAGTTTAAATAAATTAGTCTTAGTTTAAACAATACAAGCTAATCATCAAGTCCAAGAAATTCACGCTCCAGCGCGGCACCCATCATATTCCATTCTCCGTCATCTCCACTATCATCGTTACCATGACTACCATCATCAGAATCAGAACCCATTTCCAAATCGGATGGTAATTTCTCACCTTAAYAAATTTAATTTATAATAAAAAAAAAAAATTTATTTGACAAATTTATCGTTTACCCCGTCGAAATTTTGTGCTGGGGGACTCATCATCATCATCATTGTCTTCGCCGTCTGAGCTTTTATCAGCGTCTTCGTTAGTTGTAGAACCTATAATTATGTCCGATGCGCGTGTAAAGAATTCTCTTGTTCGATCCTGCTCCTTTTCTTCACGTCTCCGTTTACGCAAAGTTTTGTCAACTGGTGGATTCTCTATACCAGACAAGCTTTTATAAGTATTTACTTTCTATATTATTATTTGTTTGTTTTTCTACCTATATTAATATGCTCATCCTCACTGGATGAATCCGATTCAAAAAACTGATCGAACTCTTTATTCATGGCCGCCAAATCAGCATTTGAAAATGACAAAAGTGGATTGATTGTGTCTATGAATTTTTCGGGAGCTTTAGCCTGCTGTTGTTGGGCGCTGCTCGATGGAGATATCTCCGACTTATCGCTATAGTTGACAACATGTTCTGGGCTATGGCAATGTGCTGGCGGTTTTCGTTGTCTATTTTTTGTTTTACGATCCAAAGGAAACAACCTTTCATCAACAAGCTCCCAACGTTCAGCACATGTCCATAACCAATTTGCATTAACCACCTTAATGTTTGGATTCTTTTTCGCAGCATTCACTTTAAATGTACCAGCATTGACAGCGACAAGATGTGTGGTTTCTGTAGTTAAGAGAATAGATTTAAAACGAAGTAAATATTAATATTTAGTTTTATAGGTACCTAGCCCAATACTTTGTGAAACATTGGCACCCAAACTTTTCGCAATAAAGTAAGCACGTGACTGCTCTAATTGCATATTAGTGGGTACTAAGCCTGAAAACACTAAAGTCTTTCCACGAAGTACTTCCGATCTAATTTTGGGTACAATAATCTTTAAATCTGGTATTTCCTGTGTCTCATCATAAATGGCATAAAATCTTGTATGAATATTTTTCAAAATTTCTTCCAAATACATAAGATAATCGTCAGGATCATCGATTTCAATTTGTTGATGCGGGTCCGCAGGTAATTTTATCTTAGGTGTGGCCTCTGTTTCAGTTTCCATCGGCGATCCTTCTTTATTGCCTAATTTGTTTTTGCATGTTTCGGGGGCTACYGGTGCGATATCATCACTTGCATTTGTGACAGTACTTAAACTTGTTTTTTCAGTGACTTCAGTGATTACCGGCGGTTTAACGTGTGCTAATTTAGCGGCTTCAGTTATGATTTGAGCATCATGTTTAACAACATCTACAATGGTTTCATCCTTTTTACACTCTGTATCTGTTTCCGACCGCTCTGAGATGCCATCCGAAGACTCTGAATCGGGTAATTTTTCTTTAATATCTGCCTCTATTGTGTCAACCTTGCTTGTTTCATCCGTTTTAAGCGTTTGTTGTGTTAGATCTAAAATTAAATTCTGATTATTTTCTTTAATGTTAATCGTAGGATGACAGATTTCTGAACAGTTTTTAACGGCTACAATTCGAAATGAGATATTTTAATAAACAGATATCATATTACAATTGTTTGTATGCACTATCACCAGCACATACCTATTTGAACACTTTTAATTAATGTTTATTTCGGGTATATTGAATAGAGAGTARTTTTTAACGTATGCAATACCAATATTTCACTGGCTATGTAAAGGATTACAAATGATCCTAAAGTAATAAAAGGATAAGAAATAATTGCGTTATACTGTTGAGAACGTTTATGATTAAGATACATATGTGTACATATTGTCGTTATTTACAGTAGATTAGTATTAAGATATTTATATGTACATCACAGCTCTGCATGTGGTGCATACATGATAAGYACTATTTTGGAAACTTGAATTCAATACATTTTATTTTACACCAACTATGCTTACAAACCTTTGAAATCAAGTCCCTCCCCGTCCAATTCATGTTTAGATAAGCCAGGCGGCGCATTTATGTCCCCTGTATGTTGAAAAAAGTGATATGGTTTCACTTGAATCAAATTGGATGCCATATTCCATACATCTTCTCGATCGTCAATTATACAAACCATAGAATCACCATTCGGAAAAAGTGCCCTTTAAATTACAAGATGCAAACGTTACACTCCAACATCATATAGGATTTATATTTATCTTACTTTAAATTATCAGTTTTACTTGTTGCATTGAAACATTCGTCACGCGAAAGTATACGATGTGAAAAATACTTTCCTTCTGGATCAAGTAATTGGGCAATCATGTGTGCATAATTTCGGGCTCCAAAAGTGCAGATATGTAGCTCATAGAACTTTGACATGCGATCAAGAAAAAGCTGCGTACCAGGACGAAGGCGAGTATGATACCAGGGAGAGTGTGGTCCATAGAGTTGAAAATGATAAATACATTTAATATTGATCGGAACGTTATCGTTGGTTGTGTGTATAACAGTTTGATCTAAATCGACTAGGAGCACAAGTTTCCGGTCTTGAAGTAAACGACGAGTATCATCGTGTCCCAATTTTTGTGCTAATTTTTGTGTAACTTTAAGATCAGGAACCGAATGCACCATTGGTACAGATGCTTCCGATATGTTTCCCTATTTTAAAAATGAACAATAGRATATTATTAATTCCCAAAATACATACATAAATATTTATAAATTTAAATTTAACCGTCGGTTCCTTCATTTACATGTACTTTACCAGACCCCTGATAACAAACCTCGACCTACTCAGTTGAAGTCACTCAGTCGTTATAATAAACAAAAAATAATAATAATAAAAAGTTTTTCCTTAAATGCATTATTGTATACAAACATATAAAAAATAGGTATAAATTAAGCTACTATGTATACAAAGGAAGATAAGAACATACATATAACATAGGTATATATTTGTATTGAATTTTCTTATATAACATTTTTTTCAACCTTGATATCAACTTTCTTTGATGTAAAGTAGCATGGCAAGCCTGTTTACTTATCACTCAGCGCGGCAGCACAGAATGCACGCGCATAAAACTTTGTTTTGTTTAGCGGTCGCTTATTTCTTTTTAATGTTTTCACTTTCTTTATTACTTATAACCAATTCATCTTAAATGCAAAACCGTTTCAATTTTTCATTTCTATCACCTACCGAATTCATTTATAATCGTATACTCACATTTTCGTTTTGGCGCAAATCCGCACCGCAATCAGCACACATGTCTTTTATCACTGTCGTATGGGCGCATTCGGCCAACTCCAAAATCGTAGCTCTGTAACGGAGAACATATGAATCCTTTATTATAATAAACTTATTTTTGAACGAAAAATTATTTCCACATTAAATTTAATACAAGAAATTATTTTAATAAGCCGATAATGTATTGTTCTCTTTCTTGTATTTGTCAATATATTATGGAGCACTTAGTACTTATATTGAATAAACACTGCAATGTTCACACATACCCCTGCGGTACCAATTGCCCTTCCTTAAACAAACGTTTCTTTACCACGCCTACACGATTCGCTTTCAATTTGTGTAACGTTTTATCGATTGAAGCTACAACTGAAGATGCTATCATTTTAGCGGATGAGCCTTCTGCATCATTACCGCCACTAATGATTTCGTATAATAAAATAACTTGGGACGATGTTATGGGGAAGCCTTCGCGAACGCGCCATTTATTGATTCGAATAGGGTGCTCCGCTGGTGCAGTAATTGTAATGCTACCGGCACTGCCGCTAACACTTTCGCCACTCGATTCATTATTACCATCCGCCATTGCACTCATTTCTTTCTGTACTGCAAATAATTTCACTTCAATTTTTTACAACACTCCGTGAAATTACTTTTTCGCACTTTTTTCTGTGTTCCTTGCTGTTTTCTTCAATTCTTTCCTTTTTCGCGTCTGCTACACTTCCTTCTCCAATTATAATATTTATTAGCGTTTTATTAGTGTTCTCTAATTCGTTGTTTTGATTCCCACTTCCTTTTTGAGATGCATTTATACGGTGTGTTCAGTGACGTATCAAATAATATGCAAAGGGTGTCCCAAGCGACAGCTGTCAATATAGGAGTAATATAAATGAACAATATATCACAAATAATGAAAACTTGACGGTCGAACTTCGAAAATTCCACACAAAATATTATCGGATTAGTGTTTTAATTTTAAAGCAATATTTTTCTCTTATGAAGTTGTAAACAGTACAATTATTATAGTTGTGCTTCACTTAATTGACCTTGGAAATTAAACAAAAAAAAAAATTTAATGTTTATATACATATACTCGTTGCGGGTATTTTTTCAACAGCTGTTCTMGTGCACAATTTCGCAGTCAATGTCAAGTTGCGAAAGTGTAAAGTGAATGCTAGGAAAACATAATTTTTTTAAAATAAATTTAAATAATTAAAATAACAACATTTGACATCAAATAAGTATTTTTCCAAAATGTCAGCCGTCGGTGATAAGAGACGTAGCGCCTCTGAAGATCGGGAACAAAGTGAACCCAAAGATATTTTCGTGGCCGATAACAATGATGATGATGAGGATAATACTTGGATTGGTCCTATGCCGGATGAGCAATCAGCTGCATCGAAACCGAAGAAACGCAAAACATTACCATATGAAAAAGTGTATTTGGAAAACCTTCCCAATGCTGAAAGCTATGAAAAAAGTTATATGCACCGCGATATAATAACACATGTGGTGAGCACCAAGACGGAATTCATAGTGACTGGCAGCTATGATGGGCACATAAAATTTTGGAAAAAATTGGAGGAGGGTATCGAATTCGTAAAACATTTTCGAAGTCACTTGAGTAAGAAAGAATATATTTGATAGTTCAATTATAAGTACCACAGCTCATGATTTTTTTCCTTAAAGTGCCAATACATTCCTTAACAACCAACGCAAGTGGTACACTACTGTGCTCAGCTTCTGCAGACAAATGCGCAAAAATATTCGATGTGGTAAATTTCGATATGATAAATATAATTAAGTTGGATTTCACCCCATTATGCACAGAATGGATACATTCTTCGGGTGATGCCGTTCATACTTTGGCAGTGTATGTATAAGAAACGTAATATTTATATAAATGTAATAATCGAATCGGATTTTAAATTTACAGTTCAGATAAAGATAGCAACAATATTGTTATTTATGATGGCCAAGGTAATGGCGACGTGTTGAAAATTTTGGAAAAGCTGCACTCTGCACCCGTAGTAGCAATGTGTTACAACTTGCCGTTTGAAACTGTAATTTCCGTTGACAAAAATGGTATACTAGAGTATTGGCAAAACTCTAAACATGACTATAAATTCCCACAAAAACTTGTAGCGTTCGACTCGAAGCTAGACACAAGTAAGTAATTAAAAATTCTAATATTATTTAAAATATTTTAATGAAATTGTACCCTTCAGGTTTATTCGAGTTTGCAAAAACCAAAGCCTTAGTCACTGGTCTTGCGGTATCGCCTGATGGCCGTCGATTTTCTACCATATCAAATGATCGAAAAGTAAGAGTGTTTCAGTTTAACACCGGCAAATTAATACGTGTATTTGATGAAGCATTGACTACATATACACAAATGCAGCAAACTCCACATGCATTACCTAATATGGAGTTTGGCAGAAGGTAGGTCATAGAATGTCAACTTGAGCTGTTAATTTAAACTAAAGTAAATTATTATTGCCTTTCAAATTAGGATGGCTGTGGAAAGAGATTTGGATAAGTCTGAGTTTAGCACAAACAACAATATACTATTCGATGTTAGTGGACATTTTATAATGTATCCCACCATGTTAGGAATTAAAGTAATTAACATTGACACAAATAGATGTGTTTCTATTTTAGGGAAAACTGATAACATACGTCCATTACATATAGCCTTATTTCAGGTACTTAAATGTAATATTTTTTATTATTACTCTTTTATTATAAATAGTCGATTAYTTAGGGAAAAGCGAAAAAATCCAAGGCAGCTATAACTATGGAACAGGAGGCTAGCGATAATCCTACCTTGCAATCCATTGCTAATGATTCTACGATGTTTTGTGCTGCTTATAAGTAAATACATGATATAATGAATGAAATTGCAGAAATAATATTTTCTGTTTGTTTCAGAAAATCACGTTTTTATCTATACAGTCGTCGATTGCCATCCGATTTACAAGATGTCGATCGTGATGTATTTAATGAAAAGCCATCGAAAGAAGATATAATTGCAGTGCCAGAAGGACAAGGTAAATATTATTAATAATTACACATCTGCTATATATAAAATATATTTTAAATGTYTAATGTTTTAAAACTTTCACGCTAAACTGTCCATCTGTAATGTAGATGAAGGTTCATTTGATTTAGTTTTCTTAAAACAAATATTAATAAACATCTTTTAATCCTTTATAAAGGTACACAACGTGTTTACGAAAACGCTATTTTGCACACAACAGTGGGCGACATACATATGAAGCTATTCTTTAAAGAATGCCCTAAGACAGTTGAGAATTTTTGTGTTCATTCCAAAAATGGGTAAATTATTCCATAGATATTTGCTTTAAGTTCAATCCAACAATTCCTCATTTAGCTACTATAATGGTCACATCTTTCATCGTGTTATAAAAGGCTTCATGGTGCAAACCGGCGATCCTACAGGCACAGGAACTGGTGGCAAATCAATATGGGGGCACGATTTCAAAGATGAGTTCGTACCAAGTCTCAAGCACGATCGTCCTTATACTGTTAGTATGGCAAATGCTGGTCCCAACACCAATGGCAGTCAATTCTTCATTACAGTTTTGCCAACCGTAATTTACTTATTTTTTTTAATGAATTAGTAAGTGATTAATAAAATATTTTTAAATTTTAGCCATGGCTAGACAACAAACATACGGTGTTTGGCCGGGTGTTTCGTGGTATGGAAGTTGTACAAAATATTTGCAATGCAAAAGCAAATCCAAAAACAGATAAACCTTATGACGACATCAAAATCATATCGATTCGATTGAGTAATTAATAATTTCGACATTAGAATTTTACATTGAAATAAGTGCATTTATGTATGGTACTTTATCACAATTCTTATTTATTATTTTAAACTAGTTTAACAATAGATATTTATACGCTGAACCGGTTATGTTAAGTTTGCCAAGAAGTTTGTAACACCCAGAAGGAACACCCGTCTGCCCGTCGGTCTGTATATACGCGAAATAGTCCCTTAGTTCTTGAGATATCGATCTATAATTCTGCACAATTTCGTTTCTTCACAAAAAGCATTTCATTTGTCGCAACCGATATCGGAGCATTTTTTCACGAAATTTGACAAAGATTATTTCCCAAATCAACGGTGCAATCTACGAACAAGCTTTTTGGATCGAATCACTATAGCATAAAAACTGAACGATCAAAATAAAGTCGGAAAATTTTTTTATTTGTGAAAGTATTTCGGTGCAGCCGCAGCTAACGTTTTTCTTGTTCTCCTCAAACTTACCAMCAAATTTATATTTAAATATAAACAAATCTTCTTAATAAGTGTTMTTTTTAAAGTTATCGTATATTAATGTATTGCAAAATAAACTTACGTCTGTACGCTGAACATACATCTATGAATACATATTTACAAATATATTTACTGTACTATTCGTAATAAGTATAAAGTTTTTTTTGAAGGCATAAATAAAAAAACAAAATTATTATATTTGAGTATAATACCGTATTAGCTGCGATTACACAAAATTTCTCATAGAAAGTCATTTATTTGTAAACGTTTAAAGGCAATTTTACAAATAACAAACTGTTATTACAATTTCAATATATTATCACATTTCTCCTTAAACAAACAATATTGCAATGTTCTTTTGGTGGCCTCTAACAGATTTCGAAAGTYTCGCTTATTTATTATTATTATTATTCTTTCGCTTATAGCTTAATATATAAATAAAATTAAATAASTGGAAAATATGTTTAAATGTTTAAGTTGATAAAATATGGAGCGTTAAAGAAAGTAAGTCGGCATGTACTTGCAATAGAAATTTGTTTATACAATCATATTAATCGGAAAATAATTCGCAAGTATGTGTGTTTGTGTATAGATTTATAAGATTTTTTTTTAAATATATAAATATTTTAATACAAAATTAAATTTCGCGAGTTAATATTTCCGTATTTTAGCTCTTCGTAAGTCGTAGCTTGTGACTTTTTTCACATATATGTAATTTATGAATATATTCCACATGGAATTCACTGCAAGGCATTTTTGATATCCAACAATACTAAAAAATTGTCTTATTTAGGCATCTACACTATATTGTGAGCTAATGTCAAAATCTGAAACACTATCCGAACCATATCCAGTGACGCCMCCACCATTAGTCGCTGCGTGATTATTTAACGTGCCCGAAGCAACTGTTGCACGCGGTCGTAAGACATCGGGAACATAAATCGGCGCTGGGCCTGCCACCTCGACCACGCTGGGACGTGGCACGGATGCACACCGTTTAATGGGCGACATTAGTGCAAACAATGCCAACGTTAACACTAGTGTCATAAAAAGTATAATAGCACGAGCATTTCCTCTTTCACGAAAAACTGAGATCATCGCCATAACTACAAGCAGGATGACAATCGCGGATTTAGTCATTGTAACGGCAGTCGAATGAATTTTCCCACCATTTCTGGATATCATGTTTGAAGGACCATATGCAAAAAATAAATTGTGGCGATCCACGAAATGTTTAAAACAAATATAAATCATAGCAAAGGGCATTATAAGTGGACAAGAAACACTGTAAACTATAGAAATGGTAAACACCAACACAGTCCAGGCGTAGTGAATTCCAAATGGGAACTCAATCAATATAGATTTTCGGATGTATGGTGTTTCAGCTTTCGATTTGGCCGTACACAACATCCAAATATAAACAATAAGTTCTGGAAAACGTAACAGCTCCAAAGCCGTACCAATGAAAGCGGCGGTAATTACATAATTGACATAGAAAGAACCGCGATCCGGCATGAAAACACAGTACCAGCGAATAGTGTCATTACTAATTGACCATTCGATTAATTTCTGTGCTGACGTTAGACCCAGTGATGGTAGAATGAGGATCATTAATAGTAAATAGCAAAAACATTTAATCATGATTGAATAATTCTGAAGGGAACGTGTATAGTGAGCCAACCATTTGTCTGAGAATGCAACAATTACAGGCATTAGCGCCGCAAGCGTCCACAGTAATAATGTTGGTAAAAATTCAGATACTACTGGTGAAATTTGGTATATATTACCTTTAGCTAATGCATAGGCGTTTAAAAAGTTTAGTACAATTGCTGGCGTTGTAAGAAAGAATAGCGTCAAAAATAGTATGAAATTGACAATACCCCATTTGAAGTACCAATTGCTTTTGCTCACATTCAAATTCTCCCAAAAGAGGTCGTCTGGTGAAGGTGCGAATTCCAAATTCCATTTGCGGTAGGTACCTGGTGTAAAATGGCTGACAATATTTTGTGCTTCATGTACAGTGGACACGGTAATAAAAGCTATTCCGAGTGGTTCATTGAGTGCGGCAGCTCTCAAACGTGCCACATCTCCAGAGAGTTTACGCTCTTCACGTTGATAATAAGCGTATGCATTTTCTTTAGCACAGGAGCACAGATTTGGTGTTACCTAAAAAGGATGAAAATTTTACCAAAAAATCGTATACATAAGTATTTAAAGTACGAGAAAATTTATGTCATGTAATCAAGTTTATAGAGTATTAGTAAGCGAGTATAGTAGTAGTAATAAGTATATGAGTAGTATTGCTTTATAAACTTGATACTTAATACAGAGATTATATTTAATTTTTTAGAATTTCAGCTATTACCTGAAGCGTATCTTTATCCCTATGGTGTTCACAGTACATGCGAGCATCCAAAATCTTCACATATTCCGCATTTTGCACTGTCAATTTAGATATATTGTATGCAATTTGTACGTCCTCTATATTGACGTCAGGAAATAATTCTTGTATGTAGTGACGGATAATTGTCTTATTACGATCACTCGCCGATATATTGGATATCATAATGGTACGTGTGGCTGCTGTTTTAAATGCATTACGACCGGATGCACGTCGCATTATGAGTACTATGAGGGGAGCATACATAATTGTCACGATRACGTGTACCCATCGCCACGGCGATTCTGGAGACACATTTTCCATAGTGGTGTGACCAAACTCATTCAAATCAGTTCTACCTTCAGTGGAACCATTGAACAAGTTTACGGGCAATATAATTATTATTGAAACTAGTGTTACAATTGCCATTACAGTCATAAGGTGTTGCTGAAAAGACAGATAATGTATGGCATCCGGTCCTGTATGAGTCTTTATTTGCTCCTTTTGCAGTTTCCAGGTTATTTTTATCCAAGCAAAAAATCCCTGGTCCGAATGAATGGGAGATAAAGGCGGCTCTGATGTGTTCGATGTTATACTACTTCGTCCACCCTCGGCATCATTTTGCATACGACTGGTCGATGCTTCAGGCGTGGGTGTATGAACCGTACTTGTTGCTCGCGAGTAAAATACTTCGGTCCAGCGCTTTCTGGTACCATGGTTGTTAACAAGCGCCAGGCGACCATAGTCTCCGGCTTGATGCCGTAAAGCGGTAAATAAACCAACTAATAGAAGCCAAGAAATAACGTTCAATAATAGTGTTTCCGGGATACCATTGAAATCATTTGTGAAAATTGTGCTCTTGTTTGGTAGTTTTTCACACTCATCACTCCAGGCTCTTTCAACAAACATATCTTCAAAAACGTCCATTTTCTTCCAAACTAAATGAACGGTATAACCGAACGTATCTTCGTATCTTCAGCAAACGATTCCAGGTTGAATTTAAACTATAAAAAGTGAATCTCAGTTAAATGAATATGTTTATTATATGCATACATGCAAAATAAAATTGCAAAATTTGACAGTTATTATAACTTTAAGACACCTATAATAATACACGATAAAATGTCGATAAAAATAGATTTTGAAGTTCAATTGTGCTTGCCTAGATATATCATTCGGCATTACGACTTTCGACCTGCGAAGTGGTAGTCAATTATGATACATATGTATCTTTTACTTTCAGTTGAAATAAAAAGGAAACACCTAAATTACATTTATCTAACACTAATACAGTCTCAAGAGTGCAAATATGTACGTAAGCATTATTTTATTGTTTTCATTTTATACAAAATTCGATTATGATTTTTTTTGTACCTACATACAAAAATATGTTAATATGATACTTATATATATGTAATTGTGTGGAACAAACATTTCATGAGAAATAAAATCGGTCCCACATAAAGACCATATTCATATTTATTCTGTTGGCTTAAGAATAATATAAGCATAGATATGTACATACATATATACATACATATATTCTCACATTGGCCGTAATCCAGTAAAACCACGGTGCAGGTGAATAGCGATGCGAAACTAGGAGAAAGTTATACTTAATATCTAGGGGCTAAAACGTTTATAATAGCAAGACATATTACCGATAGCGGTATGTTAAAAGAGTCACTTCATATAAGATCTTATTCCCTTTGGTCCAACCCCGTCGTTTCCTGCATGTAAAATATATAAAAAATACCMGCTAAAGTTTTACTTTTATAATTTTATTTGCTGGTCAATTACGGGACATTTAGTAGTTTAGAACATAATGGTTATACGAGATGGTACTCTATTTCCCTTACATGCCGCGACAGTATCAAAAATACGGCAAAAATATATAAAAATAACTTTGAATCACTTAATAGATAATTGATAACATCACCGATTGTTGTGTAAAAACGCCCATCTGTTATTATAAGGTATAAAGAATTAAGAATTAATTAAGAATTATTAAAGGTATAAAGAATATAAATGAAAAAAATTTAATCGGAGCAACCTAAGCCCTAGTTAATTCAATTCTGATTAGAACTATCGTCATTTACTCACATGTCTTATGAATTTTTCATTACTACATATGTACGTCTACACATACATACACTAAGGCCGTAATTCCATGTAGCATTGCTTTAAACCATGTCTATTATGAAACTAAATGCACCATTTCAGAAGCAAATGTGTACGTATGCAAATATATAAATAATATGTACATATGTGTACATTATAATCTCAGATAACGCCTAACAAACATTACATTTTTATAAGAGCTCTATGCAGAAAATACAAATGCTTTACAAAATTTTAGATTGTAAGAAATCTGGTAGTGCGTAATTGTGAGTTATGCCTCATATCACTCAACAGTTTCTCTTATGGAATAGCACTACACAACCAATTGCATTTACGATAGTAAATATGCATATACATATATGAATGCTTAGTTTACGAACATTTTTGCCAACTCTACAATAAATAACATTCAAAAAATGATTTATTGGGAAAATTACAACAACAATACGTAAATGAATCATCATATTATGAGGAACCAAATAAGAAATGTGCATATCTATGTATGCAAATGTATACCTTAACTTCTTATCCAATTGACATTATACTTTTTGGAAAATCGATTTAATGAAGTAAAAGCAAGCAAACTTTAGCACACAATATTTATTTAAAACACGATCATATTTATTATAGAATATATTGAAACCCTTTTATCGCAAATTTGGTTATATGTTAAAGCAGTTTGCTACATTAACTTAAAGTATGAAACATACCCTTTCCTCACACCGTTACCATTTATACTTTGAACAGAATTGACTTTTATAACTTTTCACAAATAGAACAAATATTTTCACAAGCTGCAAATAAAAAAATTTTCTATATTTTCTCAATCAAAGTCAATTGTTAAATCGTTTTAAATTGTGTTAGTTAATACGATTTCAATATCCACTGCACAAAAAAACAATAACATATGTGTCGCTATAAAAAATAAAATAGACGAAGAGAAATTTCATGAATGAAGAAACGCAAAGAAACGAGCAGAGACCGTAAATTATGATATACGTTCTCTAAAACGAGTTTGCACCAATGTTGCCAGCACTGACCAGATGCATTAAAGGTCTAAGCATATTGTATATATATTAAAAACATACATAATAAAATTAAAAACCTGTTTTAAATAATCATTAATTAGGTTTCCTTACTCTTTTGGAGTAACTTCAATATATTGGAATCTTTTGATGCGTGAATACTAACGGCTTGCAAATATAAATATACTCGATACATTCTCTGCTGGGAGCTGAATTAAAGATATATATTGTAGAAATGTGTGGTTATATCTTTCAAAGTTTTGGCAGCACTATTCACCCAATCATTGACTTCAGTTTTGCGTTTTCGTATCAGAGCGCTAAATAAATTTATTTAATAAAATGGTTCAAAAAAGCGTTAATCCCGTAAGCATACTCAAAAGTATTTACCAAAACGAATTCCAGTGGTACGAATATAGTTTTATTTATTTTCCCCAAGTGACGTAACCCCAAAGAAATAAGTATGGAATTTTCGCTACATTATTTCTTTCAGGTCCGTGTTGAAGAGTTTTGGGCTTTTCCTATTAGGCGTACGCATCGCAAAGGAATTTGCAGGGATGGAGATAATGCCAGCGATAGCTCAACACTAGTAGTAATGGCATTCAGTTTTCCATACAAACTGTTCTTATAATTCTTTTTGTAATAGAGAGTGTTTGAATGAAAACGTGTAAAATTGGTTGATTAACCAAACTAGTATAATGTTATACTTTATTAATCAATTGATGTATTTCAAAATGTTATAGTTTCATTAATAAATAGGTCAAATAATACAAAATTTGTTTACTATGTACATACTCATATATGCTTATAGGAAAAGGTTAATATTTTTAGCTTTTGACAAGTAGTCACATTTCTGCATTAAGTCCACTATTACTTATATCTTGGACAATTTCATTGTTCATGTCGATCTCATTCAGTAAACTTTGTGCAAGGATTTGCGGAGTCATATCTCTTTTCAAAAAATTCGAAACCAGTTGCCTAGAAGGTACACCTCCACCATGTGCCAATATTTCACGACGATACTTCTCACCTGACTCGCGATTGAATGGGTTATTTTCGAAATAGTTTTGCCATATCCACGAAGCTATAGTTTTCGATATTAAGTAAGAATAATACTTTGCTCCGTAACCAACCAAATGTGAAAAACGAAGTTGCCAAGCCGTATTTTCAACATATGGTAGTCCATAGTACTCCTTTTGCACTTCTATTAACGTTTCCGTTGTGCTTCTGTTATGCGATACTGGTCCACTATGGTAAACTTGATCAAGTACAGAATAGAAAACCTAATGATGATGTACCAGGTTTAACAGCATATGCATATATACATATAATAAAAACTACAATCATTTACCTGCAGTTGTGTTTCGCTAGCTGAAAAAAGCTTCTTCGAGGCGCATAATCGCCGCAGCATATCTTCGGAAATTGGCTCTTGTGTCTGGAAATGTCGGGCAAATGTTCGCAAAACACGTGGATCGTTAGCGAAATATTCCATTAATACAGACGGAACCTCTGCAAAATCAGTACTACAACGTGTGCCGGTTACATGTTGATACTTCGTTCGGGCAAGCATTGAATGCATTGCGTGACCCATTTCATGAAAAAGATTGTCGACCCGCGATGGTGATAGCAGTACAGGACCAGTCCAATGAGGTTGAGACAAATTTAACATTACAACAACGATTGGCAATTGGTAATTACCGTCGGGTAAATCTTTTCCTCCCTGTATTGTGAAGTGACAATCCTGATTAGGTTTACCACYTCGTTCGAAAAAATCGCAATAAATGTAGCCAAGTAAACCTTCGGTCTCATGAACAACTGATATTTTATAAATATCGTTATTCCAACTTTCGCCCGGCTCCATTTCGGTGTTTTTCAGAGATATTCCATACAACGAACGCATTATGTTATCAAGCCCCTCCATACAGCCACCTAGACTGAAGTATGGCAAGAATTCACTAGTGTTTGCTTTTAATGATTTCTTCTCCATCAGAGAAGTAAAATAAGGAGGGTCCCAAGCAGCAACGCGGGCTGTATTTATTCCGCTATCTTGCCGCTACGGAATGGAATTTAATATTATTAATTGCATCATTTAGGAGCACACTCATAACAAAACCTTCATTCTCTCCATTATTCTGAAATCAGCATTCGCTCGAGGAGAAAGTCCTTGTGACAATTCATCTAGAAACTCTTGAACTATCTTCGGATGCTCAACAGTACTTGCATTAAGTGCGCGATGTGCGTATGTCTCGAAACCACAAGTACGAGCAAGTTCATGGCGGCACATAAGTAAATCTGTAAGTAGTTGATTCTGTTGTTCAGATGGCCGCAAAAATAGACGATAAGCAGTTTCACGTGCTTCAGCAGATGATGAGTTTGTGTACAAACCGGAAACGAGAACGCTATCTCCTTCCGCAGGAAAGCTTTATATCGATGTAAATAGTAAGTGTTAATAAAAATATTCCAATCATGTAATTGTGTAATTAACATACTAATTGCGAACGGATGATGGAACATCAGTACGCTGAATAATAGAAGGTTGTACCGCACCGGTCATAAATTTTTGCCCTAATTGTAAAATGTACTCGTTAAGCCGAACTACTTTTTGTCTCTCTCCTTCTTCTAAATGGATGCCTGATTGCTCAAAGTCAAAGAGGAATAGTTTGGATACGTGTTTGTCAACATCGCTCGTGGGCAGAATATCGCCATTATCAACAACATTGCGTAACGCTGTATACAWAGGTTTGTGCGTATTCAAACTTTCTACTATTCTACTTATAGTAATACAGGCATCCTCAGCGGCTTGACAGTATTTGTTCTTTGGATGCGCAATGCGAATAAATTCTGCTAGATCAGCTACTTTGCAAAGGGAATCGGAAAGCTCGTCAAAAATTTCAACCTAAATAAAAAACCATTACAGAACATAAAGATACTTGCCGGGAAATATGTACCATTTTTCTTTCCCGATTTGTTGAGATAGCTTCAGATATTAGGTCTTCCGTTTTATTTGCAACATTGTCTCGCAAGAGATAAAAACCTTCAAAAGAACGTAATTCGGGCAAACGAAATAGTCCCTGAAATTAATGTAATTAAGGTTTCTGACCGACTTATCAGGAAATTTATTAAAARGTGGTGTATGATTAGTTAAAAACTCACCGATTCATTGCGCGTAAAGTTTATTTTTTTATATGGAGGCGAATTAAATGCTGTTGCCAAAGGCGTCGACCAAGTAGAAACATTTCGGTATAATTTATTTAGCAAGTATTTTGCTGATTTATTTCTACACGTCTTAAGCATTATCAGCTACTTGACATTAAAATTGAAAAACAAAAATATGTCATGATCTGTCACCACCCCTTTTTATTATGTGTTCACATCACATCTTGCTCCTTTTGCGCTTTTAAACTAAATTTAACGTGGAAATTAATCATTAGATGATTGATTTTATTATTTAGAAATGTATAACAGAAATAAATTATTTATTTGTTATTTGATTTTAATCAACCTACTTACTTTACACTGTCACATTAATTTATGGGCTTATATTAAAACTCGTTGCATATATTTATTAAAAATAATTATGAAAATATGAAAAAGTAAGTCAGATAAAAGTTAAGTAAACTAATTCTTTCTGTAATATTTAAGAAATTATTATTTTTAAATGCAACACTGCCTTAGTGAAGTTAAATCCACATCAAGCATATTTCGCTATCCATTTTGTTTTTGTGCTGCTGCGCTACAACAATGGCCGACATTGTATTTTTATTATTATTAATTTCAATACTTTCATTACAAAACACTAAAGGTAATTTAAAATATTACAAATAGGATGTGCTATTAATTGTATTTAAATCATATTTGCTTACAATATTATATAATTATGAATATAATAATAGTATGCAGCATGAAAAGCATTGAGTTGGTGCTACAATGCTAAAAGTTATAGTTATAGACCACTTGCGGTTATGTATTTGGCAATGTCATAATTAGAATTTATTTCAATAAGCAAATTATTTGTGCAAATGTAACATCAATAAGAAAAAAATTATGTTTTAGCTGCTGCCGAAATAAGTGGTCGTCTATTAGACGAAACACAAGAAACCTTGGATCTGGAAATGTCGCATATAAATGAAAAAGAACATTCACCTGTTCCACGGAATTCAATACAATCGCATCCCAGGTAAGTTCCAAAATAGCACTGTATCTAAGGAACGCAGGTTACTGTATTTTCTACACATCATCCAACGTAAAATTCAGTGAAAGTAATAAGAATTATATTTGTTAATAATTCCCCCCTTCCGCATTCCAAAGGAGGCACACAAAATCTAAACGTCGCATGAAGAGAAGGTAAATACTACGATTAAAAGCAGTTACAATTAAAAAGCCCAACAAGGAATGTTGAATTTTAAAATATTGGAATTTTTTTTATATTCTGTGATTAACATTCTTTATATTTCGTTAAAAAAAACAACATATATGTTTAAAATCCAAATTTTTGTGTGCTCCTTTTGTTCAATTACATTATTAATAATGTTATTATCGGTACTGATTGTAATAGTAGTAGTGTATTATCTCTAAGTAAGAAATATTTCCGTAAATAAATTTTAATGATATAATTCAGATACAAGTGCTATGCATGCGAGCCGCCCTGCAAAAATGCTACACAACATGCGCATATGTGCCAGAACGCTATTCAGGTAAGTCAAATTGAATTAATTTTTTAGAAATTTGAAATAATTAGCATAACATATTAGTGTTGGAAATCACGGACACGCAGTGCATTTGGTGAAGAAAAAGTTTCAAGAGGTTGCACCACTTCTCCAGACCAACTGCCATTAATATGTAACCAGAATACTCTGGGTCCTCGAAAACGCGCCGTAATGCATGTAAACATTATTTGTTGTTCCAAAGATTACTGTAATGACGGAGATTTTCCTGAATTGCCCCCTATTGTTAGTGGTATGTATTTATTTATTTATTTATTTTTTTTTTTGAAAAATATTAACAATATATTGCATTATAGATGAAGTGACGCGCCTAAGTGCTGATTTAAGCAATACCTTCAAAATGACCTTAGCGATATTAGGTCCAGTTTTTGTCATTGGATTGATGGCGGCATTAGTTTACTATTTTATGACAAGACATCATCGCAAAAGCATAATGGCTTCACGTATTAAAAATGATCCAGATGTCTATTTAGTTAACGACGAATTACTTCGAGCAACAAGTGCTGGTGATAGTACGTTACGAGTATGTTAATCGAATTGAAAATAAACAAGTATAAAAAATACCAATTTGAATTGCACATATTTTTAGGAATATCTTCAACATCCAATGACTTCAGGTTCTGGTAGTGGATTACCGTTATTAGTTCAACGTACTCTTGCCAAACAGGTTACTTTAGTAGAATGCATTGGACGTGGAAAGTATGGTGAAGTGTGGCGGGGGCAGTGGCATGGGGAAAATATAGCTGTAAAAATATTCCTTACTCGGGATGAGAAGTCGTGGAAGCGAGAGACAGAAATATACAGGTAAAATATAAAATTTGTATTTTATGAATTAATATAATAAATTAGTATTCAATAATTATTTGCAGTACAATTTTACTACGTCATGAAAATATTTTGGGTTATATTGGTTCCGACATGACTTCACGTAATTTTTGTACACAACTATGGTTACTAACGCATTACTATCCAAACGGTTCTCTCTTTGATCATCTAAATCGGAATGCTCTAAGTCACAATGATATGGTGTTAATATGTTTATCCATTGCAAACGGCTTAGTACATTTGCATACAGAAATATTGGGAACGGAAGTGAGATAAATAAAATAATATATAATTGTAGCAAAAACAATAATATATTTAAATTTTTCAYAGGGTAAACCTGCTATGGCACATCGTGATTTAAAGTCGAAGAATATACTTGTTAAATCGGATGGAACTTGTGTGATAGCAGATTTTGGATTAGCTGTAACACACTCTCATGTCACAGGCAAATTAGATCTAGGAAATAATCCTAAAGTCGGCACCAAACGTTACATGTCACCTGAAGTTTTGGATGAAAGGTATACTTCAAAATGTATGACTGTTAACGCTTTATTCACAAASATATTTATGTATTACAGTATTAATATGCAATGTTTTGAGGCATTGCGCCGCACTGATATTTACGCCCTTGGTTTAGTACTGTGGGAAGTATGTCGCCGCACTATTTCAGGAGGTATTGCAGAAGAGTACAAAGTGCCTTTTTACGATGTTGTTCCATCGGATCCCAGCTTTGAAGATATGAGAAAGGTTGTATGCGTGGATAATTATAGACCGTCCTTTCCCAATCGATGGGCTTCTGACCCGGTATATTGATATAATGATAAATTATTATTATTATTATTACATTGAACAAGTCAATAATGTTTATATTCCACAGTTACTCGCTGGTATGTCAAAGTTAATGAAGGAATGTTGGCATCAAAATCCGAATGTGCGCTTACCTGCCTTGAGAATACGGAAAACTATACACAAACTAGCTTCCGCTGATGAAAAGATACGTCTTAATTATGATGAAGTTTGTGTTTAGTTGTTTATTTTATACAAATGAATATTTAGTATTCTTATAATTTAAAGCAGTAGATTTTAGAATTATCATTAATAGCAGAGTAACAACGGTAGATGGTATTAAGAAACATAATATTACTTTTTTCTTCAAACGTATTTAAGTATTAAATCTATAATTAAGCATTATATATTCATATATTTAATTATATTATTTACTTTAATAGAATTAACGAACAGGAGCGATTGTTTGATTGAAATGTATATATGTGTGTGGATTTACGTAAACTTTGCATATTAGTATTAGATAGACTAGGTATATTAGAATTAAATTTAGATACCAAATCAAACAAAGCACATAAGTATCTTGATTTAATTATGCGTACATTTTAACATTTGCATACAAATGCAAACTAAATGAAAGACACGCTTAAGACTTAACACAGATTTCTACACACACGTTTTGTTATTAATCTCTATGTGCCTTGAATTGCATTGAAATTTGAAGCCTTATTTACCTTATGCTTCAACTGCTATTTATTTAGGCCTTATATTACTTTAACTCTCTTCTGGTGCCATTCTTATGTATTATTCATAAAACTAATATGAAGTATTGAAATATAATCTAAAAATCTAAAACTGCATAGAGAAGATGAAGGAGAATAATTAAATTAATATAAGCACGCATGCAGCCTTTTTATAATAAAATAATGAAATTTTTATTAATTTTAATTTACAAATATACATACATATGTAGTGTGTGACTTTTTCAACTGATACGTCTATAAATAATAGGAAGTGTATGCTTTCGATAAACATACATATATGTGTAGTTTTAAGAAAATTTATTGTACAAAATAGTCCATGGTTTAAAATTAAAATACATTTTAGTAGAAAAAAAGTATAAATTCTTATGAAGTTGGGGAAAGATGTAAACTCTGAAGGAGGAAGGAGGGATTGATTGCGAACAATTCCTCTCTGGCCTGGAGCTCTAAGTGAGACCGGCTGCTCTGCAACAATGTTTTGTGGATTTTTCCTCATCAATTTACTGCAATCATTTCCGAGCCCCCGTTTTCTCTCTAATGGCCTGGGCGTAATACCTCTACTCTATATCTAGAGATTGCCATTCATCATTCATATAGTTTTATTTATAAGAATGGAATGTTCATCGATTTCGACAAYGATACAAAATATTATCGGATTTGGACTAGAATTTTTAGCATCTCTAAATAAATGATGTATGGGTGTAGTGATAAGAAACTATCGATTATAAAACATATGGGTATGTAAATAAGAGAATGACCAATAATTTGATAGAAAGAAAACAGAAATGCAAAAACATAAGCCGTAAAGGCAGCTGCTAAGAAAACTATATATTATTCGCGATTGTACCTTCTATATACATATATAACAAAATACACTAATGGTCAAAGTACCGAACAGTTTATTTACAAGGGATTAAATAGCAAGCTTTGCACTCATTATGCACTCATATACATTTTATAAATTATACACATACATACCTGAAGTGCAACTCACCCGAAGACAATCAATCGAGAATCGGACACTACTATCTTATTATCTACAAAATAACTAATTTCTACTGTTCTAACGAGTTCAAATCCATGACTACTAGCATTTTTCCGACAAACATTGTTCACGAAACATAGTACGGAGTTGTGAAATTAACCTAGTAAAGGCATATAGAAGTTTCTTGAAATAAGTAGTTTGCTAATCCATCTATATTGACAGTACAAACTAGTATACGGGTATTCATTTATGTTGTT